ACATGATTATGCTGGTTAGATAACGAAGTGAAAATAAGGAAATCTGGGATCTTTTAGCTAGCAGAGGAGCGACTACTCCTTTTAGAGATGCTCTTAAGATAGTGAGCTAGGAAGACAAATGTAAAATTTAATGGATAATTTACAACAATTTTCAGATCGTAAAATTTGATTTCAATTATTTTTAATGGCTTGGCTATTCTTCTAGTACTCAAGAATGTTCTGATCGATTATAAATGTTCATGACTTCATCCACACATTTAGAAACTCCTCATCAATTTTTTAGCCCAGATTTTCTCTCCTAGACAATTCTCTGGGCTTTACGCCTTCCCAGTGTCCTCTCTCCCTTCTCTTGGTACCCACTTCTATTTTCTTCTTCCAGTCCACTCATGATGGTACTGCTTTTTCAACTGCATACATGAGATTGAGTGAAAAATGCTATAAAATATCAATGTAATATTTTTCTTTAAATAAAAATTTACTCTTCAGTTTTCATGTTTTGATAATATTGCAATAATTAAAGTTTAAATGAAGTGATTAGTTTCAGGTCATAAAACCAAAGTATTTAGCACTGAATTTCCAAATGTGTCCTGTCTGAATTATTGTTAAGTCAGTGCCAGCCTTTGCTATAATTATCTTCTGACAGTTTCATATTGATGGCATCACTGAATACCCATATAAATAACAGTCGAAGAGACAAAGAAAGATATAAGGAAGAGGTAAATGAAAATGAATGCCAATTAACAGTGCAATTTATACCTGTGGTATATTAGCAGAAGGTTTTTTTTTTAAAGATTATTGGTTTTTTAAATGGATTTTTAAATATCTGATTATTTTAACCAAATGTTATTCTAAGAACATTCTTGAATATAAAGTCATTACAGATAAAAAGATTTTGTTACACAAATAATGGCTCTTTACAAGCACTGCAAATTGATGGCAAACTAAGCACCTTCTCTAAATCAAATTTTTGTGTGTGTTTTATACATAACAATAAATTCAGTAGCCCAATAACATTTCATAGAAAACATGAAAATCCATCAGCCAGATGGAATATGATAGTTTTCTCCGTATCTATCAAAATAGCATTTATTTAACCTACAAAACAATTTTATCTCTGCTTTGATCTCCTACCATTAATATAATTATCTAAATTTTAGAACTGTAAGGTAATTTATATGAATTATTGTAATAGACACTCAGTGGTTTTAGTCTAGATGTATTCTAAGTAGGCAAGACTGAAGAATAAACACTTAAGACTCATGAAGTTCCACAAACAAGCAAAAAAGACTGCCAAGACATATACATTTTATTGTATTGAGCTTAAAAATAATTTAAAAAAATAGCTGACATGATTTCTCTGATTTCTGGCTAATTTCACTTTATTTTAGACTGTGGATTATATATTTTCATATTTTAAAAAAAGGCTATGTGGTTCATAGGAAGGTAACATTGCAAACAAACCTGAGATAGCAGAGGTGTGAATAAAAGAGGCACACGGTGAGTAAGGAGTAGGAAATGCCATATTAAATAAAATAAAAGCAATACACAACAGCAAGAGAAACTGGGACAAAGACATTCTCAGTGATAAGGAACAAAATACATAATTCTATATACGGAAATCCTTTGAGTTGAGTAAAAATTAATGGCTTATATTTTTCATTGCAATGTCTTGATTAAGTCCTGATGGAAGTAATTTGTTCACTTTAACTTCTCAAGTAAACCCCAATGGGTCAGTACTGGTTCTCATTTCAATACCTCTTCTTCAGTGGGCAAAATGGCACATATAGATGTTGAATTCCATGAATTCCCAAAAAGTAGAAGTCAAACACTTTTTACATGCATTCTGAAGGCTCTCTGTGGACAGTTTACTTAAAATGTACAAACAAGACACTAAAATGTTTTATGTCCACCTATGAAATAGTTGAAATAATAAAATTTTCCCTATCTTTTACTCTCTCTTTTCCATTTACCCCCCCCTTTCCTCTATATCTGTTTTGCTTCTCTTTGTGTTGGAAAAAGTCATAATTGCAAAACTGAAGTATTATTAAGGCTTGTTTTAAATCACTGCCTGGGAAATAAATTAGCCCCTAGTCTCACGCAATAATAATGGAAGTAAATGAGAGCTTCCAGTTATGGTGCAGGAAATTAAAGTAATGATGGCCAAAGCTTAACAAAGTCACAAGAGACTACATATTATTGATTCTAAGAAAAGATAGATTTCTACTGTCCAAAAAATGACATCTGTCTCAAAATAAATGACTAAAACACAAACCAAACAAATTGAATGAGTTCGTTAACAGGAAAATTTCCAAATACCTAAGGAGAAATAAATTAATGTAAAATAAATGCGATTTAGAACTTCAGGAGATCAAAATGGAACTACTTAACAATATCTGAAATAGTATAAGGTCACAAATAACTACATTATCCAATTTCTTGGTATGAAATACATTGAGCAAAATGTAAAGTCCCGTGATCTAGGTGAAATGACTGCTAGGGAGTTTCGCTTTGTGTTGATGAAAATATTCTAAAATTAGACCTTAGCGATGAATGCATAATACCATGAACATCCTAAAAACAACTGAAGTGTATACTTTAAACTAGTGAGTTTTATGTTATATGTATATATCAAAGTTACTATTTTAAAAAACGAACCTATATCAACCTAACATCCCTCCCCTAAGAGATCTTTAGGGGCAATCTCAGATAATGTTTTTGTGCTAATCCTAGTCTATTTCAAAAATGTCACTGGAATGAACAGAAAAATCGTAGACTTGATTATAATTCACAAAGGTAAGATTAAAAAATAATTGTTATTAATATATTTAGACAAATGGTTTTAAATAGCCTGTCACTATACTCAAAGACTTAATGGGAATAAGTCTCCTTTTAATTGTATTTTTGGTGCCTAAAATAGCATATTTCACATATGCTGTTTTAACTATGCTCCCAATAATTCTGGCCTCCTCTCCTTATTGTTCCCTTTTTATGAATCCTCACTTCTGAGAAGCAAGCTGTTTTATTGCCAGCATGTTCAGACGGCTGATTGCCGGTGGAAAGTCATGAAATTTGGCTTATTAACTTCTGTACAAATTGAAGTTACCTAACCTCATCTGAGCCTTCACTGCTGCTTGAAAATCTTTTTATTAATGTCTAATTGGCTCCTTAGCACATTTTCCATAGTGTTCATTTCAAAGCTTTTCAAATCTGTTCTCTTTAAGTGACCTCACCTATTCACTCAATAGAAATCAACATCTTTTACTTGATGGAAATTTTCCTCTGCTTCAAAATTTACCTTTCCTTCACACTTACCTAAAAAATGTGGGGTCATTTTACAATTTCCAAACAAACAAACAAACAAATCCTAGTTTATTGGAAATAACCTGACTTGGCTTATCTCACATCTGCTACCCACTAGCTCTATAACCACAGGCAATGCAATAAATTTATCTAGTATTTGATTTTCTCACCTGTAAAATTAGTGCCATGGACTTTGCAAATTCTAAGACCACTTTCAGTAATAAGACAAGATTTTTCTAATCCTGTGTTTAGTCTCCTGTCTTTCTATCCCCCAGGACTTTTCCCTTTCATTTGGCCCATCTATTCTATAAGGAATTTTCTCTCCACAAATCTCCTTGATTAATTTGATTCTTCTTACCCTAGATATGCTTAAGACTTCATCTTTAAAATCTTCCTTTATGATTATCACGTACGTTAATATTTTCACTGTTTCTCAATCAACTTACTTTCGGGTGTAAATAGCACTCTTACTACTGACTTATCTCTTCACACCTTCCAATTTGCCTTCTTATTCCAGTACTTTGCACAAATGGCTGTTGCACTATTTGGGAGGCTGAGGCAGAAGGATCACTTGAGCTCAGAAGTTCCAGCAGCCCAGGTAACACAGAGACCTCGCCTCTTAAAAAAATAGACTTGTTACAGAGGTCAAATGTTTTTTGTTTTTTTGTCTTTTTATAACTTAAACCAATTTTGACATAAAACACCACTGGTAGTTTTTTGTCCTTGTTTTGTTTTGCCTCTTAGAGATGAGGTTTCACTCTGTTATCCAGGCTGGAATAAGGTGGCATAATCACATCTCACTGTAATCTTGAAAGCCTGGGGTCAGGCGACTCCCCTGCCTCAGCATCCTAAGTAGCTTCACAGGCACGCACCACCGTGTCTGGTCACTGGTGGTGTTCTGAAACACCATCTTGACACTTTCTTCTTTCTTCCCTTGAATCTGAATCTCATGGTAATCTTTCTAAGTGTCTGTTTACCTCTTATTTTTTTCTCTTGGGGCTATGTTCTAAATATGATTATTCATCAGAGATCTATCTTGGTTTCCTTTCTAATCTTCTTCTAATAAAACTTGGATTTACTCTGGGGGTCTCAACTGTTATACATATGTAGATTAAAAATATATTTTTATCTGAACTTCATCCTAATATGCTGCACATATCCATGTATATGTCTTACCAATTTAAAGCTATGGTGAAAACAAAATTCATCACTCTACCTCAGTGCCTACCTAGAAAAAAGGGGGAAAACCCTGTTCTTATACTCTTTCTCTTGATGACATAAAAGGTTTTCCAGTGACTCGAACTGACTTGTCAGGAAGTAGAGAAGACACTAGTGTCAGGGGCAACACTGTCCTGTGCTAGCAGACTAGCAAACAGCTTTTCATGCAGCTAGTTCTTCCTTTGACAAACGTCTTAATTTTCTGAAGAAAAATAAAATTATGAAATCTTTGTAATCATCCAAGGTTTTGATGTAGATGTGGAAAAAGTATGCCGTTTTAAAACAGCATCATGGTAAGACTCAATGTATTTTTTTTTCTTTTTACATCATAACCAAAGTATTACCATGGACTGACATATACAGATTTGCTGCTCCAGTTCCTTCATTTATTGCTGTGAGGTAATATAAAGACTTTAGCTTCTAAGAAAATCCAACACTTTTATTTCACCTAGATTTAAAAAGAAAGAAAACAATAAACTTACACTTTATCTGTTCCATAACTCCTGTAGTCTACTGCAGCTGACACAGCCACAATGAGGGCAGGCATCCCATAGCCAACCAGATAAAAGTATTTCCTACGTGAATGTTCACTCTCAAAAACCTCCACCAGCATGATATAGAGCTGCACTCCCTCCAGAAACATCCAGGTGAAGGCGGCCAAGAAGAAAAAATGTAAGAGGGCAGCGAAAACAGCACAGGCAATCTAGGAAAAGGAACAAATGATTTAGTCAAATCTCTACCACATGGAATACTGGTCAACTGCCATAAAACCAGATTAAATATTTACCAAGACTGCATAACAACATGTCTGCAAAATAATAATCCAGGGAAGATTCTTAAAACACAGATATTAAAACTAATATACTTAAATATAACCTATCTTTGAAAACTGCCTTTAACATTAATAATGGCTTATGGATGACAGCATATCATTAGAATAAAAAAATATAATACTTAGGAAAAATTCTAATAAAAGCCTATGAATAATTATCCCTGAGATTAGCATAAAGATTTTAAAATAGATTTTAAGATTTTTTCCTCTTGGCCATAACCATGTGTTTGCTAACATACTAAGTTCTTCAACTGTCAATGAAAGAGAAACATTAGAACCAAGGGGAGAATTAAATAGTGTAATTAATTGCAGTATTTTAATATTTGATATTATTAGTAATTGTTTGTTTCATGATGATATTATTAATTATTTGTAATTGTTTGTTTATTTCTTCCCAAAACGATTTAAAGTGGTGTTGGAAAATTCATGGTGAACATGATTAAAAATGGATCTGGTTAAAATTACATGTTCCCAAACTGCTTTATTTCTCTGAATTTTTGTTATCATACTAAATATTGATTTAGACAACCTTGGTCAAAAAAGGCAGCCAGCTCTTATTTTTGTATATTTTCTAAACTATACAATTTTCAGCTGAGCAACTATCAATTCCTTACTCTCATGTCGATTCCCTGAATTCTCATTTCTTTCAGTTCTTCTTCCTTATAGGAAGCCCTGACTAGCCCGGTGCAGTGACTCATGCCTGTAATCCCAGCACTTTGGGAGGTCGAGGCAAGGCAGATCAGGAGGTCAGGAGTTCGAGACAAGCCTGGCTAACATGGTGAAACCCCATTTCTACTAAAAATACAAAACATTAGCTGGGTGTGGTGGCAGGTGCTTGTAATTCCAGCTACTGGGGAGGCTGAGGCAGCAGAACCACTTGAACCTGGGAGGTGGAGCTTGCAGAAAGCCAAGACCAGGCCACAGCACTCCAGCCTGGGCAACAGACCTAGATTCCATCTTAAAAAAAAAAAAAAAAGGAAGCCCTGACTGAAATCTATAGCTTCTACTAGAAAAGGTCAACAAACTTATAGAAGTTACCAGAATAGTATGGATTCACTGATTAGTATGATCCCTATGAGATAAGACAAAAGGGCAGGTCAAATTTTAGGTTACAAACATGACATTGAAGGATAGAACAGGAAGTCCTACATCTGAGGAGCTAGAAAGAAAGCTGGCCCTAAACGCTATGTGGAGTGCAGAAAAGGACACCTTGCTAGGAAGGGGAGTGAAGGCAAGATTTGCTGAGCTGCACTCTACCCATGTTTTCATATCAATCGTTGTTTTTTATATTACTTGTTAGAAATAAGTTTTGTGTGATATGCAATATTTGGCAAAGTTTTTTATATCATAAGTAACATCAGGAAACAAAAATAAGAATAAGGTTTCTAAATGAAAAGAAATCACACAGCATTTGAATCGCAAGCTAACAAGAGAACAAAATGATATATTCTTGGAAAATAACACAATTTTCCATTTCTTGCTTTTTAGAGTTAGAACTTCAACTATTAATTTTTGTTAAATAAGGCTTTACTTTCTTGGGGAAAGAAATGTGTACTTTGATTGCTTATTCATAGGTATGCATTTATGGGGAAAGCTGTCACATTAGTATATGATACCCAATTAAAAATATAATCACCATAATTGTACCCTTCACAGTCATTAATCATGAATGTGTAATCACAAACATGAATCCAACTGCATTTTTATTGTAAAGTACTCCATACATATGGACACATACTAGAAAACAGCATTAAGTGAACAAACTATTTATTATGCTCAAAGTCTTCTACAAAATGAAACTTTTATGCTCATTTGCAGTTTTATTCATAATAACAAACTTGTATCGTGAATAAATCTTAAGCAAACGGAAACTGCCTCCCAAAAATTGTAAGTGAGCATAAAGTCTGTGTAATATATTAAGGTATTATCTATTATTTATATTTTCTTCTTGGTTTTACTAACACTGGGCTAGTGCTGTTCATTTTTTTTTCCTTTCTTTCCCTTTTCCTCTTCCTCCTTTCCTTGATATAACTAAATGTAGGCTGCAATAACGTACTGGGTTGGCACTTAAAGACATGACCAGAAGTCACGCAAATATAAAGTGTCAAACAAAATTTGGGAAGAGTTTACATATACTAAAAACGATTTGCAGGTTGTACCATTTTCCAAAATACATGAATTGGAAAAACTCATTTTAGACATGCAGATTTTAATGTAATATCAGCTGATTTTAAGGATCTTATAAACTTTAAAACAGAACTCTATTTATTAGAAAAAATGTATTTTTTCATTTTCTAAATAATTTTACCAAGGTTTCCCCAATATTGAGCTCTGTGGTTAAAACAAAAGAAAAAAATAGTGATAATATATAGGTCCTTAGAAAGACAAGTTATGAAATAATTTTTGAGGAAATGTACATTTTATTTATTGGTAATGGGAACACAGAATGGTACAGCAACTTTGGAAGACAATTTGTCAGTTTTTCTAAAAACTAAATACACTCTTACCATGTGATACATAAATTGTGCTCCCTGGTTTTATCCTAAGGAGTTAAAAACATATGTCCACACAAAAACCTGCACACAAGTGTTCATAGCAGCTTTCTTCATAATTGACAAAAGCATAATTGACATCTTGGGAAGCAGCCAAGATGTTCTTCAGTAAATGAGTAGATCAGACAATGGTGGTACATCAGACAATGGAATATTATTTAACTCTAAAAATAAATAAGCTATCAAGTCACGAAAAAGCATGAAGGAAATTCAAATATATATATGACCATTTGAGAGAAGCCATGGCCAGGTGTGATGCCTCATGCCTGTAATCACAGCACTTTGTGAGGCTGAGATGGGTGAATCAGGTGAGTCCAGGATTTTGAGACCAGGATGAGCAACATGGCGAAACCCTGTCTCTATTAAAAATACAAAAAGTTAGCTGGGCAGGTGACACATGCTGCTCCAGGGGCTGTGGTAGGAGGATTGCTTGAGCCTGGGAGCTGGAGATTGCAGAGAGCCAAGATCATGACACTGTACTCCTGCCTGAGTGACAGAGTGAGACTAAAGAAAAAAGAAAGACAGGAAGGAAGGAAGGAAGGAAGGAAGGAAGGAAGGAAGGACGGAAGGACGGAAAGACAGAAAGAAGGACCGAAAGAAAGACAGAAAGAAAGACAGAAAGAAAGAAAGAAAGAAAGAGAAAGAAAGAAGGAAAGGAAGGAAGGAAGGAAGGAGAGAAAGAGGGAAGGAAGGAAGGAAAGAAGGAAAGAAAGAGGGAAGAAGGGAGGGAGGGAAGGAAGGAAAGGAAGAAAGGAAGTCAGGCAAGAGAAAGAAAGCAAGAAAGAAAGGAAGGAAGGAACAAAAGAAATAAAGACAAGAAAGAGAGAGACAGAAAGAGAGAAATACCAATCTGAAAAGGCTACATACTATGTGATTCCAATTATATGACATTCTGGAAAGCCAAAACCATGGACATATTAAAAAAAAAAAAATAGTGGTTACCAGAGATTAGTGGGAAAGGAGGGATAAACAGAAGCGGCACAGATAATTTTCAGGCCAGTGAAAAAATTATAATCTAAGGATAGCTATGTGCCATTATACATTTGTTCAAACCTAGAGAATGTACAATACCTAGCGTGAAACCCAATGTACACTATGGAATGTGGGTGATAATGACGTGTCTATGTAGGTTCATCAGTTGTCACAAGTGTACTGCTCTGGTGGGGGATGTTGATAATGAAGGAGGCTATGTATGTGTAGGAGCAGGGATAGGTGAGAAATGTCTGTAGCTTCTGCTCAATTTTGCTGTAAAGCAATAACTGCTCTAAAAAACAGAAATCTATTTTAAAATGAAATATACATTATTCATAAAATCCACTGCTTATTTATGACAATGGAATATGAAAAATGGAAAACTGAGTAAGACCAGAAAATTAGTATCTATCTTAGAAGACTAGAAGAAATGACACTTTCAAACATAAGTATTTTTAGTATTGGCGATACTGAAAAGCTGGAAGTGGAAAACTTCTTTGCTAGTGTCAATGTAGGTTTCTTACTGGCTGGTCGGTTCGGTTGATCCCAATCAGGAAGAGCAGCTCTGCTACAAAGAGACTGATGCAAAGGTTCTTGTGGATGGTGTTACGGTCACTCTGGAGCCCGCGGAAAAAGCAAAATGTGAAGATGCAAATCAGGAGACAAACAAGGGACAGCAAAATTCCAACCCACGTGATCACATCCAGAAGGAGGTCATGGACCGCATCACTGTGCTGGAAACACAACAAAAATGCCGTAAGTTGCGCGTATACATAACCAATTACAACGTTTTATAAGGGCCTGGATTCAAAAAGTATGATGTTAATAATCCTCAAAATACCCTTTATACCCACAATGAATAAAGTAACTTAATGATTTGAGTTTTCTCTTCCACAGATGAAGCACTTTGTCTTTTCTGTGAAGTGTAAGTCAGTTTGATATTCAGAGATGCCAATAGTATTTGCTTCTATCTTGGCTACAGACATTTTTAGAACATAAGTAGTTAAAGCAGATCGACTGAATTCTGGCCAAAGATTTCAAGGTAAAACATTTTATTTTTTAAATTTTATCACTTTTTTAGACTAATTTTCAGATCATCTCCACTAGGGAATACTATCTAAAATTTTAAGCTTTACACTTGGGGAAGTTGTATCTCAACTTATTTTTGAATCATCTAAGGGTTTTAAAATTAAAAATGCAATTTCTTTATCCTGTAAATCCTGTATGATAATTTCCAAGGTTGTGTCATATAAGTATGCATTTTCATAAAGATCCCCAGTGAATTCTGATGAATAGCCACACATGTGTACCATTTATTTTGTGGGCAGATCTAAAAGAATGAGGATATTTGTTGGATTTATATTCATATTGAATGGCTTAAAGAGATCAGCAAGTTTCATCTTTGAAAGGTTTTGTGTGAATAGAGCCTGTTATACATTAACAGAAAATAAATATTCAGAATTGCTATACTAAACAGTGGTATATAGCAGGCAGTAGAGCTAAGAAACAACAAAAAGTTCATGAAAACTTGTGTACTGAAACACATGTTTTGGTTCTGTTAAAATAGTCCAGTAAGCTCCAGGTCTGCCATGTTCCTTGGTTGTCAACTACTTCATTTATGTCCTTGTTCTAAGATTCAGAACTGTTATTTCCACCCTATGGTATTTTGTCCCTACCCTAGAAAAAGTTTCTGCAAAACTTTAGAATTTATAGAGGCCCAACAAATAAGCATATAAACATGTTGAAGCAAAGTTGACAAATTGTCTATGACTGTCAATTCTTTTCCTTCAAGGTTTTTGGATGAGCCCTAAATACCTAACTTCTATCAGTAGCAGAATGAATAAATGAATGGATAAAAGGTTAATTTGTACAATAATATTTTAAAGAGTAGTAGAAAATCAATATACTATATTTAAAGTCACAAACATGGATAATACACAAAAATCTAATATTCATTTTTAAAAAGCAAGCATCAAAAAGATCTACACAAAATGGCATCATTTTTGTAAAATTTTAAAAGATGAAATCAATGGCATTGATATTTTCTGGATATATGCAAAATTGGTAAAAGTATAAATAGTTACATGGAAAAATTTTGAGTTGACGGAGAAGAATTGTCTTTCTAATTGATCCCTTTCTCAACTATATAGATCATACACACCGACTTTTGTTTTAGGATAGAAGCTGCCACATTTAGTTGGCTTCACAGTAAGCCCAATTTTCACACATATCGATATTCAGATTTTCCAAACACTGCCATGTTCTCATTTATCATCAGGAACTAAACACTGAGTATTATTGGATATAAATGTGGCCACAATAGAAGCTAGGCACTACCAGAGGTGGAAGGGAGGGAAGGAGGAGGGGTAATGGTAGAAAAACTATTGGGCACTATGCTCACTCAATACCTGGGTGATGGGATCATTCATATCCCAAACCTCAATATCACACAGTACATCTATGTGTCAAACCTGCACATGTACACCATGAATCTAAAATAAAAGTTGAAAAAAAAAAGAATTTTAGAGGTAGACATTTGAAAAACCTATATCCAGGTTTTGTTCTTCTTTTTTTTAACTTTATCCTTTCAAAGATTTTTCTGGATGTGGAAATTTTTAGAAGTGAGTCACCATGGTGTAATTTGAATCATAGCACTCCTCATACTGCCAGATATGACTTCAAGGTTGTTATTTGATGAAGACCTCCACTAGAACACTGTCGATGAAACAGTTTTGAAATATTCCTGCATAACTATTGATATATTTCTTAGAAGGAGCTCAAGTCATGAAAGAAAACCACATGAAATTTTGCTTTCACTGCTTTGTTCTCTGGGGGATACTACCAAAGCAGTGTTGGGTTTGCGACAGCTTAAATTACTTTGAGTGTTTGAGAGTGGAAAGTGGTTAGTGCTACCTGGTTCCCTGAATAGAGGGCTATTTGCTCTCTTCTTTGACTCAAAGGAAAGATGCTGTGATTGAGTATCAAGCACCAACGTTTAGCACAGCAGTCTTTCATAATGGAAAAATGGCAGATATAACACCATCTCAAATGTATCCAAAAGACCTATAGCATCCTTTAAAAAAAAAAAAAAGAACAAAAACAAGAAAAAAAGAAATCAAAGAACTCCCACATTTATCTGGGTAGGTGCATTATTAGAAATATATTTATATTACTCAGTCCCCTAGTAGGCTCTTCAAAAACCCCATGTAGAGTTAATAAGAGAAGAATATCAGATCTTGAAGTGTCAGTGGCAAAAATTTGCAACTCTCAATCACAGAACAAAAAAGCCTAGTAAATAAGTCACCATTTAGGTATGACTGTTTAGCCAGGAAAACATCAACATCACCACCTATATGTCAAAGATACTGGGATGGCAGCACTCATCAAATACAACTCAATAGTAGAATTTTAGCAGTAACTTGAAAGGGAAAGAACAATGGTGTATTAGTCCATTTTCACCCTGCTGATAAATACATACCCAAGACTGGGTAAATTTATAAAGGAAAGAGGTTTAATGGACTCAGTTCCACTTGGAGGCTTCACAACCATAGCAGAAGGCAAAGAGGGAGCAAGACATGTCTTAAGTGGCAGCAGGGCAAGAGAGAGTTTGTCCAGGGGAACTCCCATTTATAAAACTATCAGATCTCATGAGACTTATTCAGTACCATGAGAACAGTATGGGGGAATCACCCCACTATTCAATTATATCCACCTGCCTCCACCGTTGACACGTGGGGATTATTGTAATTCAAGGTGATATTTGGATTGGGACACAGTTGAACCATATCAAGTGGACATTAAATGTAAATAACAGATGTAAATATGAAGAACCTTGTTTATAATTAACAGTCTGCCATAATAGAACTTTTAGAAGGGGATCTGTGGATTAAAAAAAAAAAAAAAACTCCTTTGAAGAGGACAGCCAATTGAATTAAACTCCTGAGTATAGTTGTACCAAGGTGATAATGGAACAAGGATTCCTATTTCTGAGATTGCATGTTTATGAACACTATATAACTCAATCATCTATAACACAAACTATATACCATTATGTACCTTGAGAGCAGGAGTCATAACAATTTTATTAATATTACATCCTAGCACCTAGTACTGTGCTTGACATTAAAAACAAAGCCTTAAAAATATTTGGTTTTGAATGATTATAATCCCATTTCTATTAGACTAAATGCCTTAGAGTTGAATCCTCTCATGCCAGTACAGCTTTAGCACCCATTTAAGCTCCACTTGGTTATTAATTAAGGTATCAACTATTATATGTCCAAAACAGCTCCTGATCTTATCCTATTCTGCTCCAATATGTTCTTCCTTCTGTTTTCTTCATTTTAGAAAATAGCAACTTCATTCTTGAAAATGTTCTGGCCAAAAACTCAGGAACTATATTGATTCCTCTACATTTTTCATACAATACATTTAATCCATCAGGAAATCTTATAGGTCTTTACCCTCTAAGCCTGACAGGTTCTTATCTCCACTGCACCAATTTGGTTGGAGCCATCTGATTGTTTTTGAAGAGCTTTTTAACTGATCTCCCTACTTTGGTCCTAATCCCACTTTTCTATATTTAGCAGAGCAAAGAGATTCTTTTTAAATATAAGTCACAGGACATCACTCCTCTAATCAAAGCCTCCAATGACTCCCACTCAATGAACATAAAACTGAGTCTTTACAAAAGCCTTACACAGCCCTAAGATCTGCACCCATGTGACACCATTTCCTATTCTTCTCTTCCTTCAGTTCATTCCACCTCCACTGGCCTTCCTTGAATGGGTCAGGGGTATTTCAGCCCCAAGGTCTTTGCATCTGATGCTCCCTTGGCCTGGAATAATCTTCCAAAAGATATCTGCATGGCTTACTTGCCACCTTCCTTTCGTTCTTTATTCAAAAGTCACGTTCTCACAGACGGTTTTCTCTGAGTCATTCTATCTAAAATTACAGGCACCTTTTCCATATTCTGACTCTCTCTACCGCTTTTCTTGCATTATTTTCTCCTTACTCCTTATCACTTACCTGAACTGTATATTTTAATAATTTTTCCACTTATTTTCTGTGCCCCCCCGACAACTAAAAGAAATCTCTAAGAGAATAAGTTGTTTTATCTCTTCTGATCACCAATCCTCCAGCTCCTGAAGAAATATGTAGGATAGAGTAGCTGCACAATTAATGTGTTGATTGAATAAATAACCTCTGTTTAACCATCTCTCTCCACTACAATGGATTTTGATTCAAACTCCAAGCTGTATCATGCTGCCCACAAAACAGTCCTTAGGACTCTTCCTCTTAAATCACCAGCAATAAAATGTTGAGTAAAATATTTTTTAAAAATTAGAGCTAGAGAATAAGAAAGTTGTTATACCATAATACCTTATGATATCCTGTAATGTCAAAGTGTCAAACAATTATCAAAATGAAGACAAAAGTACAGATGTAAATAAGAGTACTCTGGAGTAAATCTTGGAGTCTAAAGCCTTGAATTGAATCTCATCACTTCAACTTAGTCATTGTTACTTTTAACAAAGTACGAAATCTCTTTGAGTATCAGTAACCTTATCCACATAGCAGTAAAATAGGCGAGGCTTCAGGATATTGTGATAAGTAATTCCCATAATATATGTGAAAGTAATAAAGCAAGTATTTATTTCTTTTTAATCTGAATATATTCTGAATTTTTCATTCTCAATAGAAATTTTAATTTAAATAAAAAGCCTACATGAAT